TGGGGCCGTTTGGGGCGGGTTTTTTCCGGAAGATTTCCTACCACTAAGGATATAAACAACTACCGCCGGAATTGTCGACCGGCTGTGTTGAGTAGGTGCCGCGTGGTTGGATTTTAACGTAGCAGATGATATGCCTTCGGTCCTGGCAAAACTTCGGGGGACCAGGCGCGTCCTTGTGTGCCAGCCAAATGAAGGTCACTATAGCCACGTTTCTCACGATGGCAGCAGATAGCGTTATTCCGACGCTTTCTAGATGTAGTAAGTGTAGACGGAACGCATGCAACAATCATCCTCGGGTAAGTTTTTTAAAGCATTTAATATTCGGAATTTATATATAAACTGTACACATTCTTCATAACGGCGGCATGGGAACCGGGCGTCCGGTTATGTAGCGTTCGTAGAGAGCGAGCAGTTTGCTCCCATGCGTAAGCTGTTCGGCTTATTCAAAGAAATGATGGGCGAAACTTATCCGGTTAGGACCTTTGCAATGGACAAGTTGGCGGCGCAAATGCGCGCGGCAAGAGTCGTGTTCGGCCGTGACGTAATGCCTTGCTACTTTCATGTCCGCAAAGCCATCAGGAAGCACGTGTGTACAATTTAATATCCATGTATTTTTGGTTACAGACACATTCTGCGAACAGCCGGCACATATTTCACCGCATGGCTCGCCTGGACAACGCTGTACAGTAGGTTTTATGTTCATCGTATTACAATTACACAGATTCTGACAAGATCTACAGCTTCTGCGCCAAACCGATCCCCGATTTTTTTCCTATCTTACGGCTCGCTGGTTGTACATCACCCGAAAGTGTGCCATATACGCACAGTCCGGAATGGTTCATTTCGGTAATGTGACCAACAACCGATTGGAGAATGCGAAAGGGCGCCTTAAAGATCGGGTGCACCATTCCGACACGTTGGAGCATGCCATTCAAAAGGTGTCCCCGAACGCCAAGTGGCTCATGCGGGAGTTTGAGATGCATACGTCGTACCACTGCGACAGGCGGCAAATCCTGGAGGCTGACGCCTACGTTCTAAACGTAGTGTGTCGAATGACGACATATGCATGCTCTCTGTGCCCGAGAATGCACATGCCCTTTCTATCAGGCGATGTGGCTCCCCTGTGTACACCTGTTCTCTGTATTTCGAGTCAATCCGTTCCGAGCAGTAAGAACTATGCATCATTGACTTTTTCTTAGCTTGCTTTCCAACCCACCAACGATGGCTGTCGGATTAAAACCTACCGGGAAAATGCGTACCACTTACACTTGTTCCCAAACCGCCGCCGACAGCTTTCGACGGTTTTCGTAAACAATTGAATCGGGTGATGGATAAGCTTCAGAGGCTGGAACCCAGGAGGGCCATCGCCATCTTTAAGCGGTTGATTGTTCAGGGACAAATCCTGCTGCGTCAAGCCTCAAAGTCGCGTGTCATATCACGCCGACTGTTGTGACCGTGAACCTTGCCCACTGTGTGGTGGTACTCTTCAGGCTTGTCCCAAAGTTGAGTCCACATGAAAATAAATCACTTCTGGTTCTTAGCTCCGGGCCCATCCAGAAAACTTAGAGGTATGCTTGCTACCCGTTCCGCAAAGAGGGCGTCTTATGATGTTGAACTGCACCGAAGCAGAGATTCCCAGCACAGTGTGTCCCGTAAGTCTGTGTGCGTCCGTGTTTTCGGGTCCACTGAGGAACTACTCGACATCCGTGGGTCAATGTCTGACAACTACGACTATTTCTGTAGAGCGCCACCTAGATGAAAGAATCAAAGATGATTTCATGTGACCCATCGGCTCCGAAAAGTTTGTCTGTTAATGAGGTCCTGTACATTACATGTAAGTCTCGTATTTCTTGAGAGGTGCAGTAAACAGGGATGCGAAATAACCGCTGAAGATGGCATTGTGTGACCAGGCATCTACGACAGTATAGTCGCTGCAGTGAATTTTGGGGTAATATTTCGATAATAATATTTCGATAACCTGAATTATATCTTCCTCTCATTTCATGACTTCAACGGCTAAATGAACACTCCTCGCGAAGAAGAAAATGCGCCTCACAGAAGGACATTTGTAAACTTCAAAACGATCACTATATCTAAAAATTCAATGACGTCCATTTTGAGCGTTTTCTCAGTTACAGATGGACGGGTGCGCTAGTTAGTTAGGCATCGTATACCCCTAGCTGCATGTTAGTGGTGTGCGTCGGTTAAGATCGTTCAACTGTCCTCTATGATTGACGTGTGTTCCATGTACCTAATCGATAAACCTCGAGGTCTTTCTAGCATGATTCGCAACCTATAATGGGAAACTCTGGTTTTCGCCAGCAAACGTGCACGGCGTTTAGCAAATAATAAGCGTGCACTACGGAATTTTTACTGGCAACAAAGAATCATCGACCGAAATTTGTTTGCACGAATGCGCCTTCGCATATGTTGCATCTCCAACGGCCATTTAGATTCTAGAATCTTGATGAAATTTGTTCCGGTGGAAAAGTACCTGAGAGTTACGTTAATTGTATGTGAGTCAGCGGTTTCTACAATTTGCGATTTTTTATCATCGGTTATGTAGCGTGGGACGTCAGGAAGTCAGCGGTATTCGACGTTCGAGAGGATGTAGCGTTAGCACACGTCAGTTCTGAAATGTGCAAATATACGGACTGGTATTAATGAGTCCACACGGCATACACAGCACACATGCGCACAGGTCGGGTGAGACAGAAGAGAACACCGGAGCACGGTAACCACACGCGTGTATTCGAACCAAACCGAAACCGGAAGTCAGGGGTGTACAAAGTTGGGTCAAGGTCAGTTAGGGGGGGTGTATAAGTGGGATACTCTTCCCTGTCCAGGGCCCGTGGTGACTCGTCCGTGGTACCTGCAATAGGGGGAAGAGAGAGAGGGAGGCATTCATAAGGCCATGTGTTAAACGTGCAAGGCAATACAGTCAAGTTTCAACTGCGTTACACTGCCCCCTCCCGAGTATGAGCACTGTCCTCAGTGCTCAGGAGTGTTCGTGTCGGATGTACTGATCTCCACAGTATGGCTGACAGGTGGGGGATAGGAGGATGTAGACGGCTGGGTGCCAAGACGGGGTGAAGGGTAGGGCTTCAACTGATTGTAATGGACACACTGTACATCCATATGTGGCTTAGAAGGGTCACGAATGACATAGGTGTTGTTTGGCCTCTTAATAGCGATAACATAAGGTCCCTGCCACATGTGATGGAATTTTGCGGGCGCACCCGGTGGTGGTTTCGGCCGGTGTAGAAGCACAAAGTCGCCTACTTCGTACCGGGGTCCGCGTGATTTGCGGTCGTACACCGTTTTCTGGTGTTGTTGTGCATGTCCGATGTTT